CATCTCCACTTCCAGAGGGTTGCCCTTTGCCAAGCGTCCCTCTTAGATGTATGCGCATTGCCTTCCACTTAACAAGATGAATGTATAGCACACTGTGATGCATACTGCACATGGAGATTGCTTTATCCACCGCTGAAATGCAGCCACCTCTGGGGTGAAGAGGTGTACAGTTTGGGGTTAGGAAGGAAAGAGGAAACCTGCATCTGGTTGGAAAGCCAGGGGCATCTCAGGGAGGCAGGAAGGAATTTTCCAGGTTGGAGGTCAGCAGGGGGCAGTATCAACCAGCAGGTGCCAGTATCAACAGCCCAGTAGAGGCTTGAAAAACCACGAGAGCTTGAAGTCTCATTTGAAAGGCAGCACAGCACCCTCTAACGCTGGGTTCAGAGGGAAACTGGCCCATCTGAATCACCAGCAGCACGCCCTGCAGCTCCTGGGGGACCCGTAAGGCTCTGCTAGCAAAGACCCAGTGTCACCATAACAGCACACGTGTCCTTACACGCCACTCTTGCTTGCTGTAAGCAGGATCCTCAGTGCCTTGTGCATCACAGCCACAGGCTGATTGGCAGGACAAAAGGCTTCCTCAGGCAGGCTGGTGACAGGAGCATTGACAACAAACAGTGTTGCCGGTGCTCGAGGTCTCCGGTGTGTTGCGCAACACCGGGACATTTCCCTTTTAAAGCCCCAGCTCTTGCAGCTGGTGTCCATAGGGCAAGCTCAGCTCTCATCTACCATAAAAACAGGGAGTGACTTAGCCCAGGGGATTGCAAAGGACAGTTTGGAAATGTGACTTAAGTGCACCTTAGAGGTTCAGATACCAAGAGGCAAACAGTAAGGAAGCCAGGTTTTTTTACATCAACGGCGAGCGTTTTGCTGTGTGTTTGTACAGCACCGAGCACCCTGAGTTCCTGATCCAGATAATATATTAAGATAAATAACTATATTGAATGGGTTTCTTTAATCATGATTTTTTTAGCCAGCCTCACCCTTATTCAGGATCTTGAAGCATATGCCCCTGGCAGCCCTGTGCATAGGCCTGTGGGACATGGCCAACTTGCTTGAAGGAAAGCCTGGGACTGACTGATCGCACACTTGGTATTTGAGAAGCCTGCAGCTGAGGTTGTTTCCCCCCTCCTCTCCCCCCCCCCAGGTGACTCCTACAGGCACTCTAAGCAGCAAGGCAGGGAAGAGCTGGCTGTTTTATAACCTAAGAGGCAGACTCTCTTTATGGCATGGCTTGCACTGCAAAGCACCACCCCCCTCCGTTATGGCACTAACTGTGTCGCCTCTATAGCCAAAACCCATCCAGGAGAGGAAAATGTGTGCATGCTATGAGTTCACACCCCCACAACCCTGCAGCCTCTCATCTATGGGTTGCATCCTCTGACTTATTTCTCCAGCAATCTGCCAAGAGGGGAAACCTGAGAACCAACAATGGCCAAGGTTGCAGTTGGCCCAAGGCTCCTGCTTGAACATTTGGAGGATCTATGAGAGTCTGAAGCTGCATGTTTTATATTGAAACAGATATGCCTGCGTGGGGTGGTGAGACCCATGTTTTACAGCTGGAGGCCACGCTCCTCTGGAAGTCAAAGGCCAATGGTTTGCCATGAGGCTGTTCAGAGCTGCTTGATTGCAGGGGCGTGATTCAAGCTGCTTAGCAGGGATGTGACCGAGGAAACCTCAGGGAAGTGGGAAATAGAGGTGGAAACTTGGCAGTAAGCTGAGCCTGTGCTCCAGGGAGGAGCAGGGCTGGGTTGGAGCTGGCTGGGCTAATCTACAGGATCAGAGTGCCAGGGAGCGTGGGGTGAAACAGGGCACGTGAGACTCAGGACAAGACGAACTTATTACGCCCCATTAACATCTGTATCAGACAGCAATCAGTTAACGGGTGGAGTGGCCAGGACTCACTCACGCAGCATCTCCCAAGTGGCCTAATGAGGAAGTAGTTTATCCTGGATCCTATTAAAGAAGATGAGTTGCTCCCTGGAGTCAGGGCTGGGCTGAACAGGCCACAAGTTGCATAAAGCTGTGGTGTGCTGAGCATCCTGTGGGAATGCCTTTCTTCTTCATGGAGGAAGAGATGGGCCACAGAGCCCATTACTGCTGGGGCGGAGGGGAGGGGAAGTGTGTGTGAGCAAGGCAGACAGCGACACAACTGCTGCAACAACAGCACCACCAGCCAGCCCGTGTCCTCCAGCCTGCTTAGTAAGGAGCTATTTACTCTGTAAAAGTTTGCTCCGTAAGCTTTAATTCTCCTTCCCCTTTCTCTTTCTCAATGCTTCCAGCTTTCTTTTTCTCATTCTCTCTGGTTCTTAAAGAAAAACCAAATTGCCTGACAAACATAACCACCACAAAACATACGAGTTGCAGCCAACATCAGCAATCTCTGCAGCAAGGCTTGGAGGGTGGTAGGATTCCCACAGGACTGCTCGTCCTCCAAAGACCCGTCAACATAGATGCACAACAGCTGATTTCCTTCACCCTTTGCAAAAGTGCCCCCTTGTTCCTTCACACACGTGTGCAAAGCTAATGTGGGATACACCGTCTGCCTGTTGGCACTGCAGATGTGTTTGTTGTGATGACTAGTTGCTTCCTACATATAAAATCCCATTTTTTGAGAGTGGATTTGAAACTTAGGTGTCGGCATTTCTCAGCAGGGGAGTGATGAAACACAACACATGGAGCCTCTGCCCAAGAGCACAGTTTATACTCGCAAGATTTTCAAACCAGCTTCAGTGTTTTCAAGAGATGCGAGTTTGGGAGTGTTTTCAATAAAAGATAGTGTGGTTCAGCAGCAAGGGTGCTGGCCAGGCAGGTTCTGTCCCTGGCTCTGCCACTGACTTGCTGAAGGACCTTGAGCAAATTGCTTCTCATCCCTATTTCCCCTCTCTCACTCTTTGTCTTTGTTGTCTATGTAGATAGTAAACTCTTCAGGGCATAGTCTTCGGCTCAATGTGACCATGGTCTTGAATGAGGCCTGTGGATACTATGGCAGAATGGCCCACGGATGGAATTTAAGTAGATTGAGGGTTATTAGGAAGCAAAACGGGGCACCGAATAGTTTAGCCAGCCACCCTGGCTTCTTTCTGGACTAGTGACATCTTTAAAGGGATTGGTGTAAAGTTCCAAGATGGAAAAGAATATTTTTTCCCCTATTGATTTTTGCCTCTTTCCATTTGGCAAACATCGTTTCCCCCTCCCTCCTTTGACTCTGTGTCTAAGTGATGTGGAGAACCAGCACAGCTCTATTTTTGTTTTCTTCTCTGGCTGCAATCTAATGTCACGGGCTACCTGCTGCTCCCTAAACATCAAGTCCGGTCCCGCTGAGCTCAGCTGGGGTGCAAGTTATGTCCCTGAAATGGGCCCCAGGGTAGTCTATGCAGGACTGGACTAGGACTGCTAGTGACTACAGGAGACCACAGGGGATGGATCGCACATACCCTATTTCTTACACTCTCCCATTAAAGTACCTACTACTTGTCACTGGGCTAGATGCACCTTTGGTCTGGCCTGGTATGGTGGCTATTATGGTCTGTGACCCATTGCTATTTGCCTGTGCTGCTGAAACTTAAGTGCAAGGGATTTCATGCTGGAGAAAGGCTTAGGCTTGACCTACTGGGTAGCTGCCCTCGGCTAGTTATGGACAGAAGAGCTACAGTGCAATGCTCCCTGGCCTGCTTCTGCCACTGGGCAGCACCATCCCTGGGGGAGAGGATCCTCTCAAGAGGGGCACGGTTTCCATGCTCATTCAGCTCTGTGCCCTCTCTGCTGACCCTGCCATCAAAGAAGGTGCCTGGGTGCCATTCATAAGGGTGGTTTATGTTGTGGCATGGATTGTCTGTCCTCCATTATAGAGGACCATCTTCAAAGGGTAGAGGCTTTTCACTCTCAAGCATTTGAAAAGCATTCAGCATATAGCAGGCAGTGAGTACTAACTCAGCACAACATGGTGGCATGTCCACTAGCACCAGGGCTGAGGCCAGGCAAGTCATTGCACATAGGATGGACCTCCCAAGTGATGCGTGACAACCATCATGAGAGCCAAGGGGAAAGCAGAGGGAGAAACTGCAGTTGGCAGTGACTGCAGACTGCTTTATTACTAATACCCACCTTTCTTCATTTATAGATCCCAAAGCAGAGCAGAAATGAGTATCCTTAATCCTGGCTGAAGGAAGGGGCCCTTTTTGTGGGGAATTGTTAAGAGTCCTTGTGCTCGGACTCTTTGTGGGACAGGGTCTCCCACTGGCCTTTCCATCCCAGTGTTGTCTGGGTTTTGGCAAGGAGAAAGTGGAACGACATTGTGTGCAAACCCTGGCTGCTGCCCTCCTGTTGAAGACGACGAGCACTGTGGTTTCTGCCAGCCTTCTGTGTTCCTGGTATCAAACACCGACACGATTTAAGATACAGTTATAAGAACGTGGGTGGTAATAAAACTTGGGTATTTTTCCCTGCTGCATGAGCCAGAACTAGAGAGATTAGCCATCATCTAGTGACCTTCAGCAAAGATCAGGGCAAATCTGAGGGGACTTTTCACACTGGAGTCCCTAGTACAGGAATTTTTAGCTGGTCTAATAGAAGATATCAGACTTACCCAAAGAGCCTTGTCTGCCTATCTCCTTAGACCAACACGGCTACAACCAACACCCCAGTACAGGAAAGCATCCTTAGGTATGTGCTTAAGCCCCGCTATGCTTTCTGAAAGTGCCACCTGGAATAGGGACGAAACAAAGCACGTTGCTTCAATGCTCTCCTGGATCAGGCCCGTGGCGAGGAAAGCATTTATTTAAACTCCGAAGCCTCTTTCTAATTAGCTTTGTTTTTAAACACGGGCTCCGAACAGCCTCCGCAGCAGAAGGGATTGTTATTAAACGCCAGCCCTCCGGTAGGCAGGACATGTGTGCGGATTAGATCCGAGGAGCTTGGCTGCCAGATAAAGACGTTATTGTTGTCATTTTTTTCCTCTTTCCCACTCTCCCGCCTTCCCTTGCTCCCACCCACCCTCTCCAAGAGAATCTCAGAGGAGCACAACCAGAGAAAACACACAGGCGTGCGCACACACAGAGCGTGCAGGAGGCGCGCTCGTGTCAGAGCTGAAGTGCAGTGAGGAGGAGGAGGGAGACAGCCAGAGAGACACTTTCTTGGGAATTAATAACACAGGCAGGAGAAGGGGCAGGTGCACACAGGTAAGCTCTGGGCAGGTGTTTTACCTGAGAGGCCTCTCACCTTGCCTGATGGTTCAATCAAGGAATCAGCTGCCTCCTCTCCAGGGTCTAAGACTACCCTGCGCTCCGCAGCTGCTGCTACATGGCAACCACGTTTCCTTTCCTCTCTCTTTCCTTTCTCTCGCATTCAGCAGCTGGGTCTTTCTCTCTCCAAAGGCAAAACTTTTTTTCTTAGCATGGGGGATGGTGCTGGAACCGGGGATGTTTAAGTCTCCAGAGCCAGGAGAAAAACTTGTGATACGGTTGCTGTAGGCTGTTTCCATGGAAGCATGAGCAGGGAACCCCCTTCCTCCCGGCCAGCTACCCTTCACACACCCACTCGCTCTCACATGCTCGCTCTCACACGCACACGCGTGCATCTCCAGCTTTTCAGCTGGAAATGCAAAGGTGACCCAGGCGTTTGAACGAATGCGGCACAGCTCAAAACATACTCTGACCAGGAGAGATGCAAGGTTGGGAGAGGAGCGCCGAAAAGGGAGGCGTGGAGCTGGGCTCAGACAAGTTTCTTTTCAATCCAATCCAAAGTTTCCAATTCTAGCAGTCTCTCCAAGCGCTGTCGTGTTATGCTCAGCAGACGCCGGCTCATTCCTCTCCGTCTGCGCTGAACAGAAGTTGGTTGTTTTGCAAAAGATCTCAGAAAAATCTTGGGAGTTTGCGAGGTTGGGGAGTGGGGGAGGGACTCCAGAAGTCAATGCAATCTCACGGCTTACGCTCCCGTCCTAGATGGGGAGATGGGGGGGAGACAAAAAAAAATGGGCAGCATGGCAATGTTTTCTTTTTCTGTGAAGGAGCGAATTGAGTTATTTCCCAAGGGTCTGGGACCAGGGCCAGGAGATTAGACCCTGGCTGCAGTTATACCTGGATCATTCCAAGGAAACAGAACCCAGGACTGAGATGGCTCTACCCCAGGGCACCCCGCTTCTTGATCCCTCACGCGGAAAGAGCTCTGACACTTCGGGCCTTGTTGCATCTTATGCTGTGAGCTGCACAAATGTTGATCGCTTTGGTGCTAACTTGGAGTTTGGAGCAGTCGCACCTTTAGCTTGAGCCGCGCATTTGTGGGGGGTGGCCATACTTTCGTGGAACAGCAGCTGGGTTGCACAGATCAAGAGAAGATCCTGCCTTGGAGTGGCGTAACTTTAAGCTGCACAAGGGCTTTAAGTCACTTTATGGTATTAATGTGTGGATGGTCCAGGGGTTAAGAGCTCTAGGAGCTGCCCAAAATGATGGTGTAATAAGGCCTTAGGTTCTCAGTCTTTGCTCATTTATGGGAGCACAAAGCTTATTGATGCATCCGATCCCTAGGAAAGCGGTTCTGTGTTTAGGCAGAGACTGTTGTGCAGACATCTTCATGCACTGACAACTAGGCGGCATTGGGACAGAGGGCTGCGTCTGTGTGGGTGTGCGATGGAGAGGGGAGGGGAAGATTCATGCTCTTTGTGGCTCCGTGCAGGGCTGTAGCATGAATGAGGGGGGGTCATAGGAACGTGAAGTCCCAGCCCCCGTTTTTGGCTGTTCGGCTGGCAGGGTCCAGCAGTGCAGCAGAAGGCCAGTGATGGATCTGGGGGAGTCGTTGTCGGCCCCACTTCTGTCAATCAGCAATGCCCCTGTTTCCTGGATGCAGTCCCACTCCCTGCTCATTTTGGACAGCTGGGGGTTAATCCTGCCCTTCCCTTTGGCAGTGGATTGGATCAGCAGAGGGGTTTTGTCAGGAAAGAGATAAAAGTGCAATCATGAAGCCTTCCTTGCTGCTGGGGAAGGTCTGTCTGCAGGCTGCAGGGAGGTGGAAGAGAAGGAGAACCCAGAGGGCAAATCCCAAGAGGCAGGCAGAGGAGCTGATTTAGTGCGGCTCACAGGGAAGCAGGGGGAGGTTGTGGGGCTGCTCGGTAATTACTTTGGAAGCACCAGTCCCATGATCTCCTTGCGTCTGCACTCTGGGTGGGCGGCAGAGAAACCCCAGGCAGCTCAGGCTGGAATCCAGAGAGGTTTTGTTGCAAGACTGAGAAGCAAGTTCAGGGCATGGGGAGAGGGGCACACCTGGCACAGGTGGCTTACTACAGCTTGCACTTCAAATGTGCCACAGGGCCTCCCTGCAGTGATTGCTGCTCATGGTACCTCCTGCTGGGGGGTAGGAAGGTGCCATAGGGCAGGCTGGGGAGTCTGGGATAATCGCAGTGGCTGCAGCTAAAGGAGAACTATCCCGGCCCTGTTTGCACATCCAAGAAATGCCCAGTCAGTGCTTCCAGGGTCCGTGGCTGCGTGTTGGACCCCACGGGATCCAAGGTGCTTGGAGACGGAGCTGCAGGCCAGGAGAGGCGCTGGGGTTAAAATGCAAGCATTTTCTGTTGCAGCAGTGTGGGAATTCTGCCTCCGGCTGATCCTAGAGAGCTCGGGGGCAAGACGTAGCCCGTCCACAGGAATGAACATAAAACTTTCCCTGCAGAAAAAAGTCTGCGGTTGCTGAGTCCCCTAGTTGGATTCGCCAGCAGCGTGATGGCTCTAGCCCAACATAAATAATCTGCTGCTGAACTTCTTCCTCCTCAACCTATAGGAGAGCTGGGCCTTAGCATCGGCTCTGGTCTTAAAGGGCCACCTGAGTGAAAGCTTTCCCTGCGCTCTCCTTCACCCCCATTGCTGCGCTTGAAAAGCACGTTGGATCCATGTTGAATGATAAAGCCTTTCTCTACCATCTCAGCTCCCCAGTCCAGCTGAATAAAGGAAACCCCAGTTTTGTGGGTACAGCCCTCATCATACTCAATGGCTGGGAAGTCTGGCAGGCCCCCCCACAAGCTATGACTCTGATAGGGTAAAACAACTGATGGATGCAGAAGCCTTGCTGGCTTCTCTTCAGGTGGCCCTCTCTGCTTCAAAGGGGCAAGCATGTTTTCTGTCCTCGTCTGTTCATCCACAGCTCCACGCACATGCGGGGAGCGGTGTCACACTGGGAGGGGAGCAAGGGGCACAGGAACTTGAGGTCTTGACAGAAGCCATGGACAGAAGCAGAGGCACTGAAGGAAAGCTCTCGCAGGGAGATGAACTGGAAATGACACCGTGC